AAACGTTGCACTGGGAACGGGCCAGAGAACGTTCAAACGCCGACTCGACGCGCTGTGGCCTTCGACTGCACGCCTGCAATATTGCATCACTTCTCGGGCGGCATGCTCGGGAGCGGTGCCCGCATCTTGTCAAAATCCTCTCCCCGTCGTGTAGATCCCGTGGGCCAAAATAGCCTGGCGCGTCAATTCTGAATCGCCCCTGTAACTGTGCGCGCCCGCCTAGCACGCGTCGTTTCCGGCGCTAGAAATCGCCTTCCACCCGCGGGAAACGACTCCCGGCATCCCTGCCGATGGAACAGCCCATGCAATGCGCGCGGCTGTCGCGCCCGCGCCCACGTCCAAGCTGGCGCGGGCCATGGGTCTGGAGGCGGTGCGCCGTGCACTAGCGATTCCATATCAATCCCCACATTGCAGAGGCGACTCGCGGGGCCACTAGTCTACCGTGGCGCCAACCAAAGGGTGCTCCCCGTGCGGGCGCGGCGACCGCGTCGGTTGCCAGGCAAGTCCAATTTGCTTAACTTATGGGGCAGGCGTGCACCCCGACACTCTAAGTGCTGAGGGAGAAACGCTTCCGCAACCTCGCCCTGGAAGCCGCTTCGCAAAATTCTTCTGTCCTGGTTTGCGTCGGCGCCCGCGCGGCCCTGCCCGCCTTCGCCCCGTCCGCGAGGTGTCCTCGGAGCCGATCGCCGTGGTTTTCCACGCCGCAGTGATTCGGCTGCCTCTGGGGCGGCAGATGGCCGCCCCCTGATCGAGGCGCCGTTTCGAGAGCTCCTCGAATGGCCCCCTGCCGGGGCATCTCGCGCAGCGCGCCCGCCCGCTGTGACTCCCGTCTCCAGCTCCTTCATCGGCTCTGCGCCCGGGCCCCCTGCATCGCGCGCCGCCAATTAGCGGGGGCGGATGGGGCCCGGCCCAGGTCGTAGCCGTGGCCTGCCCGGCTCTTCGCGACCGGCCAGCCTTCGAGGGTCGAACCTCCTGGCCGCCTCGTAGACCTCCTTCGACTTCCGCGCGCCCAGGCCGCCCGCTGCTTTCGCTATCCCTTCGGAATGCTCGGGCTACAGCTCGGCCCAGCTCCGAGCTTCCACGGGCGTGGCCCCAGCGGTCTGGAAGGCCAGAGAAAGACCTGCGCCGTCGTGAAATCCGCGCGGGCCCTCGCGGTCGCGCGCCTCTTTTCCTCTCGCCGCGCCGCGGCGATGGCGTCCGCGCAGCCGTCGGAGTCCAGGTCGCACTGGCGCCCGAGGGCGGTGGCGTCGAGCCCTGAGAGCGTCTCGAGCAGGTTCGGCCTCGTCGGCAGCCAACTCGAGAAATTTGCATTGGCGGCCTCCATGCCGCAGCGCTTGACGGAGAAAGGGCGGCCCCATTTGCTCGCTGGGAACGCGCCGCCGCTGGCCGCTCTCGACGGGGGGGCCCTCGTCGGCGCCCCCGCGCCCTCGTCCTCGCCCGGCTTCTCGATGCGAGCCTGGCGAGCGGCTCCAGGCGAGGTTCGCCCCGGGCACGACGCGCCGAAGCTGCTCTGGCGGAAGGTTGCCGCGCGCGCGCCGTCGAAGGCGAAATCGCCCCTCGTCGGCCGCTTCCACGGCTGGCGGGGCGCTGGCCGCCGAGCCGGCGTCGCCCGCCCGGGCGGCGCCGAGGTCCTCGGGTTGCTCCGGGAAGAAAGCCGCGTGGAGGGCGACATCTGTGAGCTGGCTGGGCACCTGGCACCTCAGCGCCCTTCGGCCCTCTGGCCAGGGGGGCCCGTGGGCGCCGTTCTCACCGCGCCGGGCGTGGACCTCTGCGGTTCATCCGCGCCTCTCGTGGCCGGGTGCTGCAGGTGGTGGGCGACGCCCAGGCCGCCGGGCGCCAGCCTTCTGATGCAGTCGTCCTGCAGCGCTGCGTCGTAGAGGTCGGCGTCGTCCGGCCTGGCCATGTCCGCCTCTTCCAGGTGTGCGAATATGCCGAAGCGGCGTGCGAAAGCAGCGACGGACGTCTGCCTGTCGCTGGTGCTGCGAAGAGGTAGACCACCTTCGGCTGGAGCTGCGCCCTGCGGCCCAACCCCTGGGTCCTGGAGGGCGTCTAGCTTCTGTCCTTCTTCTGCGTGCTCTTATCATCGGAGTCATCCATTGCTGGCGCGCGTGGTGGTCCATCGCGTTCGCGGGCCCCGCGCGCGGACGTCGGGGTGGTCTTGCGGGGTGGGCCCCCGCCCGGATCTGGCGTGGAAGCGCGGCGCCCGCTCCCGCCGCGTGGGCACCTCGCGAAATTGTTTGCCTCGCGATGCCGTCATCCATGGCCGACGAGCGCGCTCGGGAACCGTGCCGCCCTCGTCGACGGGCCCCTGCCTGCGCCGAGGGGCATTTCCACGTTCGCGACGACCTGCTGGGCCTCGGGCCGAGTGGAGAACCTGCCGTTCTGGTTCGCGCCTGCCGCGCGCCCTGTCCACGCCATGGCGCTCACTGCCTGGTTGGTCACCGTCGTTCCACGCGGCCCCGCAGCCTTTTCATGCACGCAATCGATGAAGTGCACGATCAAGGCCCCCCGCGCGCAAAAACTACCTGCGCATCGTCTCCACTGCCCGCGCGTGCGACCTCACCGTGTTGATGCGCGCGCGGCCCGCAATGCCGTCCTTCGCCCGCTCCGGACCCATGCAGGATCGCACCGTCTCGAGTGAGGGCGCCCCCTTCTCATGGGCCGGCGCTGCTACCAAGCGGAGTTTCCGCCGAGTCCACTCCTGTGCCTCCCATCCGCGACGCTACTCCTCAACAGCCGCGCGGCGCTTCCGAACGAAGCGGGCCCCCGCCATCGCGCGAGCCCCTGGCGGCGATGGAGCCTCGGCCGCACTATGGCTGGCAACCATCTTGAACAAAACCGCAACCTCCTCCAGAATAGCCAGGTCTCGGCGGCCGTGGGGCGCCCGTTGCCGCTTCTGCACAGGCTCTTCGGCCACCACTTGCTCCACGAGCTCCTTCAGCAGCCGCCGCGCCTCCTCCACACTGAAGTCCGCGGCCTCCGCCACCTGCAGGAACGTCGCCTCGGACTCGGACCCCGCCGCTCGCAGCGCCAGGCGCGGGCCGATGGGCTCGTACTCGTGAAGCACCGTGTTGACCCGCCGCCGCGCGGCGTCGAGGGCGCACGGCCCAAGGGCCAACATCTGCGCTCTTTAAACATCGACCGGGCGCTTGGGCCCAAATGGCCACAGGCATCGGGCAGAGTGAGGTGATAAACATTCGCTCTGGCACACGGGGGCCTGATGAAAAACATCCTGAAGCTTGAGAACTTCGGAGAACCAACCAAACCGTACAGAAACCGAACGGAACGAACGGCCATCTTCTGAGCCCTGAACCTGCGCTTACTTCGCAGCTCTCGCGCCTTACGGCAATGAACCCCCGTCGGGCGCAGCTTAATGTGTGGGGGCATCAACAGGGGGGCGGATAACGGTACACCTTTCGTGCACCTCTGGGGCCCAAGGGGCCAAGGGGGTCCTTTTCCCACTGCATATCTGGAGGATGATCACGCCGCATCTCCGATGCATCGCCGATGCATTGGTGATTCGTCGGCGACGTCGAAGATGCATCGGCCCGTGTGCATGGCGAAAATGTGGCGCCGCATCGAGCCGCATCGGCGATGCGGCGCGATCCTCCGACCCCATCCGCTCGGACCCAGGACCTGGTTTCATACCTAACACCGGACCTCCCAGGGGTCCAGCCGCACCGATTTCTGAGCTGCATCCAGCCGTGGTGACGAGGTGGCCCCCGAAGGCCAACTACCGTTGTCTCAACTCGCCCTCCTCTGAATCTACCTCGGAACCTGTTCCGGGAACGCACTGACCCGGATCAGTGCAACAGTGGGTCAATCCGGCCTCGCAGGATCCTGCAGGATCCTGCGCACAAGCCCGGGTCCACCCCCCCCTGGCTCTGCAGGATCCTGCAACGTCCGGCGCTCTGGCTGACCCCCGCTTGCATTGACCTCTCCGTCTCTTGCACCTCGACCATTCGGGAGGCCTGCGCTGCCGCCCCCCCGCTGCGAGACGTCCGGCCCGCCCCCCGCGGGAGCGGCCGCCCGCCTCGAGTCCTTGCGCCGGCTCGGGCTCCTGAGGTGGCGCGCAGGCGCGGGGTGCGCGTGCCCCCCCCGACGAGGAGGCCGGGGCGAGGATCAGGTCGGGTGCGGGTAAGTCGCGAACGTCTGCGATCCGGCTGCTCTGGAGGATGTCTCGGGCGCCGATGCCTTCTCAGAGCGTTCCAGGAGGCTATGGGAGCGTTCTGCTGGAACGCTCGGGAACGGACTTATCCGCGTCCTCGCCCCGTCCGATTCCCCCCCCAGACAAGAGCGCAAGACGGAGGAGCCGCGAGCAAGCGTCGGGAAAGTGGTCAGGCTCGGCGGCGAGCGAGGGGCGAAGTGAGAAGGAGAAGGCCTTCCTCAAAAGGCGGCGGGGCTTCTCAGAAGCCCTCGCGTCTTCCCAAATATTTTCTGTCTTCGGGCAAGGCTTAGACAACTTCTCAGAAGGCCCTGGGACTTCCGAGCCTTCTGACAAGGCCATCTCCTTCTCACTTCCTCCCGGGCTCGCCACCGACAGACTCACCCTGCTGCGAGGCATTGCCTGCAATGCATCCGGGAAAAAGGGACAGCGCTACGGCAGCCATATGGAGGAAGTGGTGACAACGCTGCTGGCGCAATTTGACCGGCATCGGCCAGAAAAGAAGGGGATGGGTACACCTTTTTATTCCCCATATCCTAAGATGGGGTTCTTGTTATTACTTGGACGCCTCCTACTCCTTCTCCTTCTTCCTCCTCCTCTTTCCTCCTCCCCTCCTGTCGGACTCCCTCCTGTCGGATTTACTCATACTCAGACTTGCTCATACTCAGACCTACTTCCTGTCGGACTTACTCATACTCAGACTTGCCCATACTCAAACTTACTCATACACAGACTTACTCATACTGACTTACTCATACCCAGACGTACACATACACAGACGTTCTCATACACAACCCTACTCATACCCAGACTTACTCATACACAGAGTTACTCATACACAGACATACTCATACTCAGGCATACTCATACTCAGACTTACTCAACACACATCAGAGTGTGAGGATGTCTCAGGCGGGGCGCTGGTTTCAGCACCCCTAAGGGGAGCCGCCAGGGGTGGTTGTACGGGCTCGTTCGCAGCCATTTTGTGGGGATGCCTCAAGCGGTTTGTTTGTTTTGGGCTCAACATCGTTCGCTTGGAGAGCAGATTGTGAGGATGTCTCAGGCGGGGCGCTGGTTTCAGCACCCCTAAGGGGAGCCGCCAGGGGTGGTTGCACGGGCCCGTTCGCGGCCATTGTGTGGGGATGTCTTAAGCGGTTTGCTTGTTTCTGGGCTCCACATCCTTCGTTTGGAGAACAGATTGTGAGGATGTCTCAGGCGGGGCGCTGGTTTCAGCACCCCTAAGGGGAGCCGCCAGGGGTGGTTGCACGGGCTCGTTCGCGGCCATTTTGTGGGGATGTCTCAGGCGGTTTGCTTGTTTCTGGGCTCAACATCCTTCGCTTGGAAAGCAGATTGTGAGGATGTCTCAGGCGGGGCGCTGGTTTCAGCACCCCTAAGGGGAGCCGCCAGGGGTGGTTGCACGGGCTCGTTCGCGGCCATTTTGTGGGGATGTCTTAAGCGGTTTGCTTGTTTCTGGGCTCAACATCCTTCGCTTGGAGAGCAGATTGTGAGGATGTCTCAGGCGGGGCGCTGGTTTCAGCACCCCTAAGGGGAGCCGCCAGGGGTGGTTGCACGGGCTCGTTCGCGGCCATTTTGTGGGGATGTCTCAGGCGGTTTGCTTGTTTCTGGGCTCAACATCCTTCGGTGGCACTATCCTCCAACATGACATGCACTTATGGCCTTGTGTGGCTAAACGCTCGTCTTACATATCCCACTGCCAACTATCCTACAACATATGCACATGTGGGAAGCTCCAAAGCTACCACGGGCTGAAAAGGGGAAGGCCTGGCAGCTGAGGAGGGGGGATGAAGAGGAAGAGGCTCGCATTCAACCGTCACTCGTCTTCGTCAGCCCTGTCGCCCACGTGGACGCGCTATTGTAGTCGACCGCTCATGAACAGACGCTCACCACGGCATGACATAGAACATGAGATGCACATATGGGGAGCTCCACGCAGTGAGTAATTTTGGACGCCCAAAAAATTGGTACAATGCCCAACAACAAATGTTGTTCCAAACCGACAGCGGCCGCTGTTGGGCAGGCGGCCTTCTGTCTCAAATGGACACAAACCGCGGCTGTGCGGACAGCGAGTCCTGTTCAAAATGAACAGGAACTGCTGTTGGGCATTGCACCCATTCTTTCTGTACCCATTCGTGCGTGCAGATTTATTTCACATATTACGTGGTTGGTCTGGGGGAGGAGGACATGGGTGGTAGACACACTGGCCCGCGGCCCCGAGATCTGGCCTCGCGGGCGGGTGGTCGCGCTGGGGCCGCCAAGCGCAGACCGCGGATACTTTCGCGCCCTCTGCTGGTCATTTCCCGTGACTCTGACTCTGCTGGCTGGCTCAGACCGCGGAAACGTAAGGCTCTGGTTCGTGGGGCTCGGGCTGGCCTGACGAGGCCGCCAGGAACATGACAAAACCCACTCTGAAATTTGATGCGTGCTCCCGCTGCAGACATCCCACGAAACCTGGACCGTCAAAATTCAGGACGGACCCATCAAAAAGCGTCGGCAAATCCGAGCTCCAGCGAAACGCTTCCCCGATCAGAAAGGCCCACCCATGCGTACTCGCGTGCTCGCGGGATCTGAGAGGCCACCCGCAGGCCGACCCACGGGTACCCGTCGGTCCGAAGGCGCTGGAAGCAGACCGGGCTTCCGCCCGCCCCCTGAAGAGGAAGGACGAGGGGAAACCACTCGATCATTGAAATGGGAGGGCGCCGCCTAAAATAGATTGGGATCCTTTTTCTCACTGCACCGGCCTTGCAGACGTGCTGCAGCGGATTTATGCGTGGATGTTTGCCCGAAACGACGAGCGAAAAACGAAGTGAATTTCGCGTGGATGTTTTGTTGGTCTTCATTCCTTGCCCCTAAAAATCCGCTCGAAATTCACCTCGAAATTCAGAACGAAATTCTTCAGGACACCCCGGACAGAGACAGACAGAGTCCCGCGCTGAAGGCACCCGTGTAGGTGCAGCGGGTGGGCGCCGCAGCGCCACCCTATCCTGTTCCGAACGAAATCCGCTCTGCGATGTTGGCGCCATGATTTCTCCCCACCCGACAGGCTGGGGTTGTCAGAGTTCGAGAACAGCCCCCCCGGCCTGCCCCACCGTGCACACCGCGGCCGCCAGACCCCAAATTGCCCCGGTGGTCCCGGGTGTCCCGCCTGGCGCCCGGCCTACTCCATCCTGCATACCTCGGCCGCCAGACCCCAAATCGTCCCAATGGTCCCGGGTGTCCCGCCTGGCGCTGGGCCAAACCCAACCTGCATACCGCGGCCGCCAAACCCCTAATTGTCCCGACGATCCCCGAGAGTCCCGGGTGTCCCGCCTCGCGCCCTCGACGAACACGAACGAACACAACATGACAGAACAGAACATGACAGAACGGAACAGAGCATGAGACATAACATACCAGAACAGAACATGCCAGAACTGAAGACGACAGACCTCAACATACCAGAACATACCAGACCATAACCGTGCATAACATAACACACCTTGACATAACACATCGGATCATGACACAGCATAACAGGACATACCATAACACGACAGTACAGCCCAGCGACGACGAAGACGACATAACACAACATGACACACCATACCATGGCATGCCATAAGACGAGCATGACAGACCATGACAACACAGACCACAACAATGCCCTGACAACAACTAACATGACATAACATCACATCAAACCAAAGCAACACGGGATATAACAGAAGACGACATACCATACCATAACATAACACCACTGCGCATCACACAACATAGCTTGACATATCATATCATATCATGACACATCATCACATAACATACCATAACACGACATCAGAGCATATCGACGCCGTACACGACATAACAATACATGTCACACCATACCATGACATAACAACACACGAGCATGACATAACATGCTATACCATGCCATAGCAATGCCATGACAAACAATGACATACCAACAAAGAACATACCATAACATGCCACAAAACGGCATAACACACTATAACAACATAACCGATCATACCATAACACACCGTGACACACCATGACACAACATCACATAACATATCATAACACGACAGCAGGGCATAGCGACACATACTATAAGAGCATGTCATACTACACTGTACAGAGACGGGCCGTCAACAGACACAACATCACATACCATACCAAAGCAGACCATGACATAATAGAAGTACTCTTCTACTGAGCCGAGCTGTAAACAGCAACACATGACGAAACATACTAATACATACCCTGACATAACATATCATGTTGAGCCATAGTGCCGCAGAGCAGGTCATACCATAGCATCTCAAGCCATATGGTGACGCAGGTGAACATAACATAACATACTCAATCCGACGATATACCTATACATTGAGAAAAACATCGCAACACACGGCGCATCTAAAGTCACAGGTGTCGCGCCGGCACGCCAGCTCGTCGGGAACATAGCACGACACAATAGAGCATAGCATGACGATCGTGACTACACGGAACACGGTTGAACCGCGTTGGATCCAGAAACGGCAGCTGTGCTGCGGTGGGGGAAGAGGAGGACAAGTAGGGAGTAGAGGTCCGCCTCACCACCCTCCTCTTCCTCCTCCCACTTTGTGGTCCGCCTCCTCCTCCTGCTCCTCCTGCTGATGCTCTTCTTCCTTTGTCAACACGCTGCGGCTCTCTATCCGTTTCGCACAGCACGTCTTTGAAACTTGTTTTCTTTCAATTTGTTTCGTCAGGGGCTCTGGTGTTGTTGGATCTGGAGACAACGGAATTCGCAATTCCGCCCGACCGCCGCACTGACCGAGACCGCAAGGCCCCGCGCGCAGCGTCCCACCAGTTAGGCGACCGCGCGCTGTCGGGGACAGTCGCTTGCGGTGGGGATCGCT